CGGGGCGGCGGGCGGCGCGGCCGAGCTGCAGCCCGAGCTGGCGGTGGCCGAGCACGTGCGCTACGAGAGCACGGGGCCGGCGCTGTGCACCGTGGTCTTCCTACTCGTCTACTTCTTCGGCATGGCCAGCTCCATCTGGTGGGTCATCCTCTCCCTCACCTGGTTCCTGGCCGCCGGCATGAAGTGGGGTAACGAGGCCATCGCCGGCTACGCGCAGTACTTCCACCTGGCCGCCTGGCTGCTCCCCAGCGTCAAGTCCATCGCCGTACTGGCGCTCAGCTCCGTGGACGGCGACCCGGTGGCCGGCATCTGCTACGTGGGCAACCAGAGCCTGGAGAACCTGCGGGGCTTCGTGCTGGCGCCGCTGCTCATCTACCTGGCCATCGGCTCCATGTTTCTGCTCGCCGGCTTCGTCTCACTCTTTCGCATCCGCAGCGTCATCAAGCAGCAGGGCGGCCCCACCAAGACTCACAAGCTGGAGAAGCTGATGATACGCCTGGGCCTCTTCACTGTGCTTTACACTGTGCCGGCCGCCAGCGTGGTCGCCTGCCTCTTTTACGAGCAGCACAACCGACCCCGCTGGGAGGCCACGCACAACTGCCCCTGCCTGCGCGACCAGCAGCCCGACCAGGCCCGCCGACCCGACTACGCCGTCTTCATGCTCAAGTACTTCATGTGCCTGGTGGTGGGCATCACCTCCGGCGTCTGGGTCTGGTCCGGCAAGACCCTCGAATCCTGGAGGGCCCTGTGCACCCGCTGCTGCTGGGCCAGCAAAGGTGCTGCCGTGGCTGGGGTTGCTGGAGCTGGAGCAGGCGGGCAGGCTGCCATCGCTGCTGCTGGAGGACTTGGGGCCGGTGGAGGTGGCTCCCTGTACAGCGATGTCAGCACCGGCCTGACGTGGAGGTCTGGCACTGCCAGCTCTGTCTCCTACCCCAAGCAGATGCCTCTGTCTCAAGTGTGAGGAGCGGGAAAAGAGGCCATAGGTTAGGGAGTGAGGGACACTGGCCTGCCTGAAATGCCCCCTCACTGTTTGGTGCCATTAATGAACCACTAATGGTCCTTATTAGCCACAGCTTGTATAGAACAATGCAGCTGGCAGAGGCCCCAGGCTCCAGCCCCCTCCTCCTTCCCTTCCATTCATATGCAGGGAGCATGTACTTCAAGGAGCCAGCATATTATTTTGCTGGCAGAGGAGGGCAGGGACTCACCCGTGTCTTGCAGAGGGCAAGGCAGAGCGGCTCCTGATTTACTCTGGACTATCAGCAGCTCGTGGGAGGGAGAGAATTCCTCCCCCATCCCAAAGAGGGAGTCTGTTGGAACTACAGGTTTTTGGGATATCGATGACCAGGCAAATGCCTTATAACACAGACTGAATCAAAACATGTCTTAATTATACACCCCAGCTAAATACGGGTTTCCTACACTAAAGGATGTATTTATATAATTATTTGTTACCTTGTACAGATGTGTAAAATATGTATATATCCAAAGCTATACAGTCTGTAAATTTTTTGTAAAAAAGTTTAGAGGCTACCCCTGTAAGAGCAAATATGAGTATTCTATTTTGTCAATAAAATGACTTTTGATAAATGACTTCTTCAAGCTTTTCCCCTACTCCTGCTCTGGTTATTGCAGCAGCTGTGTCTGTGGGTGGTTCTCACTGGTTGGGTCAAGAGGGCTGAAGGAGGGAGCTCCTCTAGTCCTTCTGAGTTATAGATGGCCAGCTACGTTAAGGGAGTGGAATATCCCAGCATAAGAAAAAACAAGTGATTCGAAAAAGTGTTTGCCAGAACCAGGGGTACCTCACCACAGCTCCCGGGTTTTCAACGAGTGCCTTCAAACCAAATCTGTTTTGAAGTCCTTACGTGGCTTAAGTAGCCTTACAGAATGGGTGTTATTTCAAGAATGTGGACACGCACCTCTCATATCTGTGCTTGTGTAAGCACCTGCCTTTGCAGGGATGCACGCTCATGTGTACAAGGTTCATGTTTTAAATTCATCCATCGCATACTACAGGAGAACAGTGACTTGAAATTTCTTAGATCTCCCTCCTTAACAGATTAAACTAACATCTTAACCTTTCATACTTAACTTTTGTATATCAAATATGGTCCTTTTTCAAGAGAAAAGGCATTGTTCTTCTGTCAGGACTAAGCTAATTTATTTGAGCAGAAGGCTGTTGAATTAACAGAAGAATGCTTTGGCAATTGTTGAACTTTTTACCTGTCTGCCCAGTGGCTCAGAACATCATTCCTTTAAGAGGAGCTAAATGAATAGGGTTAATCTGTAGGGAACTTGGTTTCTTTTGAGTTTGGGAAAACTTTGATCTTTTCTCTTCACCAAACGTGATGTATAGTCTGAAGTTTCTTTCCCTGCTGCCTGGTTCCTCTTGTTGCAGACCAATTGGCCACCATGGAGCCTTAAAGTTCTTCAATTAAAGGGACATGGGACTTTTTTTCTTTTTTTTTTTTATTTTATTTTAAGAGGAAGACTTGTAACAGTTAGTGAGCACCAGAGGGAAAAGGGAGAACAGCCTTTTAAACAGCTTTTCCCTGCATTGTTAGCCAGACTGCAGGCAGCAAGGCATGGCTTGGAGCATTATAGAAAAGAGCTATGAATGCCCTACAGGTGGTCTGCTCACATAATCTCCCCAATTTAAAACATTTTCCTTTACAGGACAATTGCATTACAAAACTCCCTTCTCTTTTGCTCCTAATTGAACCAAAGAACAACTGCAAGATTTTCTTTAAAAAAAAACCTGAGTGTCTTTAAAAAGGAAAAAAAAAAAAAAAGAAAAAAAAAAAAGAAAAAAAGGAATCTAAATCCTAATTTCTTTCCTAAAATAGGATCACTGAGAATGTAAAGAGTAAAAAACCACATTAAACGTTTTTTTCTGTTCCAGGTATTTTTATGCCTTCTGCTTATATTCTGTCAAATTAGCAATAATTTAAAAGCAATTGGTTAGGCAGTGAAAAGATAGCCCCAGGTCCCTTATTAACCTGTCAATCATGGTAAGAGATGGGCAGCTACCCTGCTAATGACACAGATATCAATCATTATTTGTGGGAAAAACCTTGTTCCATTGAGCACTGACTTGATTATTTGGTGTCCCTTTCAAAGTTCCCATGGCTCAATAGAGACTTCCACTTGTAGAGAGTTACCCAAATCATGAAAAGAAGTGAAAATGTCCATCTTTGACTCTTGGGAGAGAAAAAATTTCAATTCTTGATTGTAAAGTATGTTCCATTGAGATTTGTGCTTGCTGCCTGTGTATATACCAGTCAATCAGAATACTGACCTGTGTTGCTTAAACAGGCCAGTTTTACGTTAGTATTTTCCTTTAGGTGAGCTATATTGTGCTGCTGGAACCTTCTTTTAACAGTTGTTACAGCATTTAAAGCAAGACAGTCCTACCACTATCAGTGGGGCTACAGTAAAGGTTTTCTTTCTGCTGGGGAATCCCATGCATGTAGCAAGGAAGGGAAGCTGAAACTATTTGGTGGGAATTTGTTAGATAAGTCTCTTGCAGACTGCTGGGATGTGCTGCTGGTGCTGAGATTAAAACATTTCTCAGAAACCAATAGGAAGTAGTTGTGTAGCTCAGTTGTGTAGCTACTCTGGAATCAGCAAAGAGGTGCTGCAGGTGAACACAGCCAGGGAAGCAGTCTCAGAACTAGTTAGGTTACCAAGATGCCTACCGGGGCACTAATGAGTGCCCAAGCACTGACTGAGCAGTAACACAAAGGTTAAACAAAGATGAGATAGAATTTAACTTGCTGGAAGCCCAAACACAGGGAAACAGTGCTGGAGAAGAAATTTTTGTGAATCAGCATAGATTTTATGTCTAAGAAGGGGGGGGGGGGGGGGGGGGGAGGAAGGCATCCTGGTATACAAGATAATAAATCCACAGCTACACCAATGCATGCATTGAGTTGCACGCTAATTTACGAGGTCTGATGGTAAACCTCCCTTCTCCCTTGAACTGCCACAAAACTGCTAACAATAGTCCCAGCAGATAGTGAGCCAAACACTTCTCACAGAGCAGAAGGGTTCCAGGCACCCGTGGTACTGGCTCACCTGTGGGCAGAAGCA